AAGGGATATTTCATACCATATGCCATCATGCTTAATATATAAAGTTGTGGGAAGAAGAAGGGTGGGGAGGGACATTTTCAGTGACAGCATCTGTCTTCCCAAGTAACTGTTAGGTGTGATGGGGCCCTGCTCTCCTGGAGATGGCTGAAGACCTGCCTGCCCATGGTAAGCAGTGAATTCATTCCTTGTTTTGCTTTGCTTGTGTGTGAAGCTTTTGCTTTCCCTATTAATCTGTCTTTCAACTCATGAGTTTTCTGGCTTTTACCCTTCCGATTCTTTCTGACCTTAATGACAGGGGAGTCAGCGGGTGGCTGCAGGGTGCTTGGTTACTGGCTGGGGTTAAACCATGACAGCAGCATAGGCTTAAGTCCACAATGCTTCAATTCACCCAGATAAATTATGATTTTCAGGGTAAGCTTAATCAATCTTCCTTAAGTTTCTAGATGAAAGTTTTGCACTCTTGCCAATGGCCAATTGCTGCACAAAGGAGAAGCAGATGGGTTTTCACAGCTCCTTCTCTCTGCGTCAGTAGGTTACAAGTGCTGGAGCTTGCAGAAGAGTGTCTAGCTTTGGGGAAAAAACAGTGTGTCATGAAGAGCAAGAGGGGAAATCCCTTTAATTTTAATCATGAAATTAAAAGTACAACAGGTTGCTGCATCAGAAACCTACACATAAGAGCCACAATGTCCATATTTCTGTTATAATTATTTTGTTCAAAAAATTCTTCCCAAGTTATAGAACCCCTTTACACACTTTCTCTCCATGGCTGCTAGCATCAGAACTGTAAGCTGATCCAGTACAAGCCTATGCTTCACACAGTTACTTAAAAGACTTGTGTTGGAGTGTAAATTTGGCTACAATGCACCAGAAACCCATTAAATGTCCTGCTTCAGAAGAAAAACAGGTGCATGAAAAAATCACAACCTGCAGATTTAAGCATAATCACTCAGAGTTTAACCTCTACTGGAATCTGTTGGGATAGATTTAAATAGTTTGGGATTAGGTCTCTAAGTATCTACAGTGTCACTGGGAGGAGGACAGTGATGAGAAAACAGCAATTTCTTCCTGGAGATCAGTCTTTGGTGATGGGAATTACTGCACCAGATACTGGTACAAATATCACTTCTGGCCTTAAAAAAATGAAAATCAGCTAGTTTTTAATCATACATTACCTGCATTTAAAAAAACAATGCATATAGCACATAGTTATTGGAAGTGATGCCTCAGTGTTAATACACCGACTAATAAAAACATTACTATAATTAGATTTGCTGACCAAGCACCAATTGTCTCAGCTACTAAGACATTGGCAGCCTTTCCTCAATTCACTTAAAATAAATGAACCTGTCCTTGTACTTCTTAAACCAAGTCTGTGGTCTAAAGCAATATTTGTAGGGTCAGTAGTAGAGCTTAATCTGTCCACAATTCGTATCAGTGCCTATCACCATACAGTGCATTTATCTCTGCAGAGGAGAAAAGAGTTTAATGATCTTTTGCACATACCTTCTCAGAAAGGTTTACAATTGCATTGAGCATAGCAAAGAAAGTAGTCTCCACAATTCTCCACAGGAAGGTCCCACTGAACTAAGATACATGCTTTGGCAGCTGGAGTGAATTTTGCATTGAATAGCTTGTCTTCAGCTGAAACATATATCCAACACACTGGCCCACTTATCTGCCCTAGAAGACTGCTGCTTCTTTTAGCCCATTACAGCTAATAGAAAACACAGTGATAATTTGCATGCATTGCCATTCCTTATGCTACCAGCATCGACATTCCCACAAGACAAAACAGTGCAAATTGTCTGAATGCCCTCAAACAAAGGTATGGAGTTAGGGGAGAAAGGTCAGTGTTTGGTTTGTTGTTTGTTTTGTGGGGTTTTTTCCCTTTGGCTCACAAGAAGAACCAAAGTCAAAGCAATATTAGTTAAAAAATAAAAAATCTAAACCATTCCTTACTAAATGTTCTTCCCTGAACTAAGCATTTAAGAAAAACATGACGAGTTAGTTGTGCTGAAATTTCCGAAGTGTTAAAAACATAATCAAACAAGATACAACAAAGCTGTACTGTCCAAAATGTAAATGCTGGGCTGAAGTTCAATTCCCAAGAACTTGGCAGGATGGGAAAGTCTCTTAGCATAACTGCTTAATTACAGAACCAGGCTTTAAAATCCAGTACTTTACATTCCTATCTGACACACCTGATATTCATCACAGTAACTGATGTAAAGACTAACCTCACAGCTTTATCTGTCTAAAACTTCAGTATTCAATATAATCACCTGGGCTTCCTATACAATCCATGGAAGGAGATGTCCACTTCTGAAAGGCAATTCATCCCATCCCTTCCAGCCCCTCTCAGCACCAAGTGCCCTCTGGAGGTGCCACTCTCTTTCACTGGCTATCAAGAGAGCCAAACTGGTGATGTCCACAACTAGTAAATGATACACAACAGGTCAATGAAACAGCAAATGACAGGAGGCTTGAAAGTGCTTGGTTACAGTCTGTAACCCTCCCTGCAGTCTGAGTGCTAGCACACGTTACGGTGCAATTTTGGCCTGTATCAGCCAAGATGCTGTGAAGCAGTGCCAGGCATGGCTGGGGAGACAGCCTTGATCAGAGTAAGCCATCTGCATGCAGATAATCTGTTGGGGGGAGGGGGAAGAGAGTTTAGCCATGTAAATTGGAGCCACAAGTGCCACTCAGCCACAAGGCCGTAGAACTGTGTCTGTGCTATTTTAATTACTAGTGTACATGAAGTCATTTCAGATTACATTCCCAAATTCTGCATGCCTAAAGCCAAGCAGAACGACCCTATCTTTGATCACTTAGGGGTTAATAAATAAATAATTAAATAAATAAATACAATTAAAAACCCAGAAAGCCTGGTTGCTGACCACTGTAAAAGCCTGAAGTGCTGTACTCAACTCTTCCCTGCCAGCTGCCACTAAATCAGACCTCGTTCTTTTGATTTTTGATGACTTTGTTCAAACACCAGCAGAAGAAAGGAATAATTGAGAAAGGAAGCACTTAGCTCTGGCGGAGTGAGACACGGCCACAAGGCTGGCACAGCTGCCACTGCCCGGGCACTTCTACTTACATAACAGTTTGGCAGAAACAACTCCAAGCAAGAGCCATGTTCACCAAGCACACTGACCTCAGTCAGCTCAGACCCTGAGCTGAAGACACCAAGAGGACAGAATACAGCTGACACATATATATGAACTCAGAGACAACTCAGCATTTCCACCAAGCTGGCCAGAAGAATAAGTCACAGTCCTGCATCTCCATTACCTCTAACTTCCACTTTTTCACTGGAATATAACTACCTTGTCAACGGGACTCCAACTTTCGTTCTCCGCCCTTTGGTCCCAGGAATTTAGCCACTTCAAAAATGGTTTGATTTATTTAAAAGTCACTTTAAATAACCTAGATGAAATTAGGAACAATTTTTCAAAATCAATTTTTACTTATATTTTCTGATCTAATTATTTTTCGAGTAGTTTGTCAAGAGAGTAATATGTGTGCATGTTAGTTATAAATTGCATTATGCACTGGCATAAAATTCACAACACTGAAAGATACAACATTTTTCATAATATTAAGAATATCAAACAGGAAATATCAAAGTAAACTTTACAGTGTGCAGTACCAGAACTGTATCTTAATTTGAAGAAGTATTAATGCTGTATGACAAGGTCAGTGTCCATATGCTCATTCACATTTCTTCACTCTTGTCAAGACTCCTAATAAAAGCAACTTTGGAAGACATCATATGATGTGTTTCCCCATTAACATCCCAACTTAATTCACAGGCAGTACATTAGAAAAACATACTCAGAGGATCAGGTTTTCAAATTCTGCCAACATGGTCAGAGATTCAAATAGTGCCAAATAGAGGCTTGAATGCCCCATATCTCACACCCCTGAATTACCAATTCCCTGAGTCATCTAATATGCATGGAAATTCTGTGTAGCTGGTTAAAAAAAAGTATTTGAATTCTCATTTCCTCTTAATTAGAATTAATCTACTTGAGTAAGTTAATAACGTTTCATGAAATGGAATGGTTTGTGTAACTTCTAACACAATTAAATATTAATAAATTCCTGTGGGAGCTAGATCAATGGAGTACAAAACGTCTTCCTGAATTTTATCTTACAACATGTCATTTTAACCAGTTATGTATTTCTCTATACTCTGTAAGAAATTTTATATGCAGTAGAAGAGTGATGAAACCCCACAGAAAAATCTCAACATTTAGAGAATAAAGAAGTGTGTTCATCTCAAGCTCAGTTTCAAAAGTGGATTCTACCACAGTCTATAATAACTAACCATCACATATGGAATACACGTAATCAATGTGTAGTCCATCATAGTAGTGAATAAACCAAAATTCCCCTTCTCTGGCCCTATTTACAACAAAACCAAAATGCTATAAAACCAAAAAGTAATCATATATCCCAAATGACAATATTAAATAACTTTCATTTATTTTCCTGTATAATTCTTTTATGACCTTTTGTGAAAGAACATTTCTAGGTGTCTGGTTTTTGCTGGTCTCTTGGGTCCAGATGAGTTTTCTCTTCCCTTAATTACAGAAGAAGAATCTTAAATCTGAACCTCCATTTCTGGCACTACAATATAAGGTTGGAAGTACACTCTTCTTGCGATAAAGGTGTTAGACATGGATCAAAACAGACACCAGGCAATTTTTCTTGAACTTTGGTTTGGTATAAAAGATAGACAGTGGAAGACAAATGCAGAAAGCTTTTTAATTAGCTTTTTTCTTTTAAAACTTTGATAAAAAATACCTTCGCTTAAAAAAAATACAACTAAAATGAAACAAAATATCCCCAAATGAAAAATTAAAATCTTCTGGTTATCAATTTCCCAGAATACTTCAGAGAAGTCCAAGTTCCCCAAATCCTCAACCCAAATATTTAATTCCCTGACCAGTTCTTTTACTGACATATTTACAGAAAGATTCATATTCTTTAAGATTTCAAAGTATTCATTAGAAGAAAGCACAACAGTAAAACTTACATTGACATTCCTTGCAGCACTTGCCATCCACATAGGCCAGGGCAGAATTAAGTGGACAGTCAGCAAGGGGGCAAATCAAAGCCTCACACTGCACCGTACCGTTCTAGAAGAATAAAAGGTGCTTAACTGGTAGTTATATTTAGCAATAGCAGAGATGTTCTCAACTTGAAAAATCTATTTTTAAATGCAGTGAATTCTCTAACAACACCGAAAAAGACATTTCAACACAGATCTTTTAATAACTAAATGAACAGAAACTATACTTTTAGAATGTCACACATGCAATCTTTTAGACATGAATCGTGTTCTTTGAAATGATAATGATTCCTTTTTTTTAAGAGGCAAATCTATTTGGAGGCAAAACATTCAGGTTTTTTGTTGATGGGCAGACAGATTACTGTGAATTAACAATTTCACAGATAATACTCTGCCTTCTGATTTTTATGTGAGACAATATATTTCTAAAAAGGTAATAATATTATAGCTGCAAGAAAAATCTAAGACAAAAATATGTAATGCATTTAATACTAAATCCAAAGAATTTTAAATATGTATCAGCCAGAATTGATACCATAAAATACCAAAAGCGAAATTAATATCCCTTCAGAAATATAAAGATCAAAAAAATATTAAGCTTTAAGAGACCCATTTAGCAAATTATAGATAGCAGCAAATCAATCTAAGGTGCAGTACAGACAACAACAGCCTTTTCACTGATTTCTAATGGCCTTTGGATTAGTCATTTAATGAGTTCAAATGAAATGAATGAGTTTTACATGAACGGACGATAACACAGATGCCATGGTTTGGTACCTGAAAGGATACTTGCAATCACTTCTGGAGTTGTGATACCTCTGGGAATCTTCCATCCACCAAATCTTTTTCATTTGTAATATAACAGAGCTTACATATGACCCTGACATTTTACTCTTTATTGCTTACTGAGATGTAACCAAAGGCAACCAAAGGGAATCAGACACAAGGGATCTATTAAATCATTTGCCAGGAAAAAGACTGTGTTTATAGTGACAAAAAGCAGAGAATCAATTATCCAGAGAAACCATTTGCAACTCAGTGCATGGGAATAACATGATAGCTAAGTATATCACATAGCATCTGCATATGGTAACACGAAATACAGGAAATACACATACTACCACTACTGAAACAGCAGGGAAATATATTTATGTAGTGTGTTTCTGTGGCTGGGTTTTGGTAGTGGGGGGGCTACAGGGGTGGTTTCCATTAGAAGCTGCTAGAAGCTTCCCCTGTCCTGTGGAGCCAATGCCAGCCAGCTCCAGGACAGACTTCCTGTCGCTGGCCAAGGCCGAGTCAATTAGAAGTAATAGTAACGCCTCTGTGATAACATATTTAAAAACAAAAGATAGTTGCACAGAAGAAAATTGTAGCCAGGGAAGAGCAGAGTGAGAACATGGGAATAACAAGGTAGACACCAAGGTCAGTGCAGAAGGAGGGGGAGGAGATGCTCCAAGTACCGGAGCTGAAGCTCCTGTAGCCTGTGGTGAAGACCATGGTCTGCCCCTGCAGTCCATGGAGGACCATCAGGTTGCAGAGACCCACCTGCAGCCCATGGAGGAGCCCATGCTGGAGCAGGTGGATGCATGAAGGAGGCTGTGACCCCGTGGGAGGTCCAGGATGGAGTGGGGTCCTGCCAGAGACCTGCAGCCCGTGGAGAGGGAAGCCCACACTGGAGCAGGTTTTTCCCGGGTAGGACTTGTGGCCCCTGCAGGGGACCCACACCAGTACAGCTCATTCATGAAGGACTGCACCCCATGGAGGAGTGACCTACGGGACAGCAGTTTGAGAGGAACTGCTGCCCAAGGAATGGACTTATGCCAGAGAGGCCCATCAAGGACTGTCTCCTGTGGGAGGGACCCCCCGGGAGCAGGGCAAGGACTGGAAGGACTCCTCTCCCTGAGCAGCGGCAGAAACAACAACTGACCATAACCCCCATTCCCCGTCCCCCTGCACCGCTGGAGAGGAGGAGGGAGAACATGGAAGGAAGGAGGGGTGGGGGGAATGTGTTTTTAAGACTGTTTTATTTCTCACTCTTTGGCTCTTATCCTGTTAGTAATAAATGTAAGTATTATCCCCACTTTGAGTCTTGTTTTGCCTGTGAAGGTAACCAGTTACTGACCTCTCCCAGCTCTTATCTCTACTCATGAATTCCTAGGTGTTTTTTTTTCTCTCTCCTCTGTCCAGTTGCAGAGAAGAGTGAGAGAGCGGCTTTAGTGGGTACCTGGTATCTGGCCGGGGTCAACCCACTAGAGTCTCTTCGGTGGCCTATATGGGGATGACCAAGGGGATATTCCATATCACATGACGTCAACCCAGATATAAAAGTTGAGGCAAGGAGCAGGACCGGAGGCACTCATTGCCTCTGATGGCTGCCTGCTGACAACCGTACGTGTTCTGGAGCTCTGCTTCTCAGAGAAGTGGCCGACCATTGCTGCTGTGGTGGTTTGAAAAAGGCTTTTCCTCAGGAGGTATTGTTTTTCATACTGAACCAATTAACAGCCTGTATGCTCTTGTGGAAGTTACATGCTCACAGAAACGGAAGAGAAGGGGTTAATTCTGGACTGCCTGGCTAGAAGCAGAAGCAGCCATGCTCTGAGTGTGCTTGGTATGGCCCAGGGCCAGGGGGCCTCTGCCCCCTGGCTCCTGCCAGCTGGGTCAGGAGCAGCCAGCCATGCAGTGGAGCCCCCCCCCACTGAAACCGATGACCAAGGAGGACCCTAAAGGATCAAGGAAGGCCTCCAGGTCGAATTTACTCCACTTCACAGAGATGGGGGAGAAAACCGACAGCAAAATGTTCAATCAGCCAGGCAGAAACCTGCCACGGAGCACAGACAGCGCTGGAACTGAGCCAGCAAGGGGTGGCCGGAGCAAGCCGAGCTGCTCAGCCATGAATTCTGAGGTGGAGGCAGCCACGGAACAAACTTCTGCAGAGGAGTAGCCTGAGCTATCACAACAGCTCAGAACAGAGAGGCCCCCTGCAAAAGGTCAGCAGCACCAGTGAATTGGTTGGAATCAATTCTAGGGTAAGAACTAAACTAAGAACCCTTAAAATTCTTTTACCCTGAGGAGGAGTGAAATCTTCGAAGAAGCTCCCCAAAGGCGCAGGCTTGAGGGAGCCGGGATTTCCACGAAGTAAAAACAGGGGATAAAGACAAGATAAGAGACACTAAATAGTGTCACAAGAAATTAATTTAGAAGAACTATAGTTTGAAAGTGAAAAAAAGGACTTCTTCTCCTTTCTTCTTGGACTCTTTTTGAAAGAAAGGAGAGACTTAATCTAATGTAATATATTATTTTACTGTAGAAGTAGTTAAGTTGTTATATATATATATATGTATGTAAATAAACTTGTAAATATTTCCCTTCCCCTAATACCAAGTTGTATGTGTCTGAAAACTTCTTCCCTTTCACAATTAGAACAAATCGTAACAACCCCTTTAAATTGGCCTTTTTGAAATTCCTGTGTTTTTCAAACCACCACAGCTGCTTATGGGAAGTAGAGATTAACTGCTAGCTCCTGCTTTGTGTGTGCACATGCTGCCTTTGCTTTCTTTTTTTGCACAAATATAAACTGCCTTATCGCAACCCACGATTTGTTTTGTTTTCTTTTCCCACCTTACTCTCTCCCCTGTGCTGCTGGGAAGGGGAGGGATAGAGCGGCTGGGTGGGCACCTGGTGTTCAGCCAAGGTGAACCCACCACAATTTATCAATACTATTCCTTAGATTTAGATCAAGTATTAAAGCACTTTGTTGTTATTACCTAGCATACATCTGGAAGTTCTCATTATTTGCTTCAATAAAACTAATCAGAGGAAACACTGGAGTTCCTGACTCTCCACTCTAACTGTAGCCATACCATGCAAGTGCAGTTCTTACAGCCATCCGTCCAGGATTCAAACTCTCTGTAAGTCGTGCCTTTCATTGTGCATGTCCTTTCACAGTAGCACTGATCCAACTTGTTCATCCTCTGTTCAGCTTGAGACAACTGTATAGTTCAGAAAAAAGTTTTGAATTTGTAAGTTGTTTTCACCTTAGTAAAAACACAATTCAAACTATCCCCCTTATCATCAAGAATGCAGATGAGAGAATACATGTAGGGAAATGCAGTCAAAGACACTAAAACAGTTATTGTTAAATATGATTAAACCGTAAGTCATTCAGAGACGGAAATTAAGAAGTAAGACACAATGCACTTCATCTTTCTCATCATCATCACATCAGAGCCATCATGAAACAAAATGAGTAGGTCAAGATGGATACAGCTCCCTTATTTCTCACCTTTGTATGTGTGAACTGATCAAGAATCTTGCTCTACATTAAGTCCTTGCAGACAGTGGGTTAGAGGGCAGAAGACCAAAACTTGAGTAGAGTGGCCAATTTGCAAATTGTAAAGCTCCAAACCAACATGTTAGCAATTGTTTCTGCACTTCAGCCAAAGCATTTTTAACATTTGTGTATTGAATCAGTCAGGTAATAGCATTCCTGCTGATATCTAAAGAACTGTCATTTAAAATCAGAAGACTAGTCTATTTTCACTGGCAGACATGAATGGTTTTGGATTCTACAGGAAAGAAAGAAGAAAGTCCTGCTTTGGATTCTTAATTCCTTGCCTTGCATATATTTTGTCTGAACATGCCTTTGGCAGCTCAGGTCTAGAAAAGTCTTGGTAAGTCTTGCTGCAATAAACACTAAAAACACAATTACCTATTTCATTCTAGGTTTATTGATTTATTAGCTTAATAGAGTTTGGATATCTCTGAGCCCTTTCCTTGCTCAGGGACTTAGATACTGTCTACTATTAAAATACACAATTCTATAAAAATATTAAAACACAAGAAAACTCTCTGAACTGGAAATCTGTATGTAGAGACACTAGGTATGGCTATATAAAGATATAATACACCACGCAGGGATGTTTTACACACACTCATGTGCACATCCCCATATAAGCATGAAAAATCTACAAAGACAGCAATTTAGGACTGATAGTCCTAATTTCTCCCATGACTTGAGTCCTAGTAAACATTACCTTAGCTGATGTTTTGGCTAAGATGTCTTGCAGTTCCATAATTTTCTGCACAAGTCCATGGAAGTCATTACAAGTTGGGCATGCTAGAATAATAAAATCAGTGCTTTAATCAAAAACCAAACAAACATGTATTCACAATAGGTTCAATCACGCCAAAGTTGACAACCAATACACTTAAAATTCAACGGTTTAAGAAAGCTTGTAGGATAGAAAGAAGGCACAAAGAACACCTTTCATTTTAGGATACAAGAATTAATAGACTTACTGCGATTAAGGTCTGGGCATTGAGAAATAAATCCTTGAGGCATGACAAGTAATTGCACATCTTGCATTATGCCCTATGTGTAAGTGGAGAGGAAAAAAAAAGGATACATTAGTTTTACCTGTCAAAATTATGTTTTCCATTCACTATGTAAAACATTAAAGTCCACGCAGAAAAGCTACCTGATAAAAACAACATTTACGAATAAAAAGTTTCTTGCCTGGGCCCAATTCAGTGATAGAAAAATAAACAGAAACTAAAATAGATGGATGTACAGACATACTGAATAATTTTTAAAGACATGAGATTAAATGTCAAGATGTAATTATGTGGCAGAAGTTTGGTGGTTTTGAATTCATTGTTATTTTTAGTTAGACACAGCAGTAAAGCTTGAAAATGACCTTTAAAACAGGTGCAGTTTCAGTTACTTTTAAATAAAATACAAGTTATTTACTAAGCTATAACTCTTAAATAGATCTGAAGATTAAAGAAACGAGAGCCAGGAAAAATACATTCATGTCAATCCTTAATGACTTTGTGCTGGTTTTGGCTGGAGTAGAGTTAATTTTCTTCACAGTATGAGCCTATGTTTGGGATTTGTGCTGGAAACAGTGCTGATAACATAGGGACGTTTTAGCTATTGCTCAGCAGAATTTACACAGGAACAAGGCCTTTTCTGCTTTTCATACCGACCCACCAGCGAGGAGGTTGGTGGTGCAAAAGGAGTTGGGAGAGACACAGTTGGGACAGCTGACCCCACCCGACCAAAAAAGGGGTCATATTCCAGATGATATGCTGTAACGCACAGCATTTAAAGCTGGGGCTAGAAGAAGGAAGCATGGGACATTCAGAGCGATTCCCCCGATACCTCCTGAACCTTCTCTTCTCCAGGCTGAACAATCCCACCCATCTCAGCCTCACACCATATGAAAGATGCTTCAATTCCTTAATCATTTTATTTCAGTTCACTCCTTTCCTTTCAGGGAATGTATACCTTAAAATAACCATGTGCAATATTCCTCTGTCCCAGCCAAAAGGTTGTACCCAAAGGCAAGTTCATGAAAGGCTTCTCCACAACTCTTTCATAAATTCTGAAAAGGAAAGGAAAAGTATAGTCCCAAGATGTTATCATTCAATTTACCCAGAGCTGGAATATTCAAAGTGTGACAAATTCTTGTACAACAACACTCTTTACTTACTTATTGCAGTCGATGTGTAAAATCAAGTGAGAGGCACTGATTGCTAAGGAAAGTCTGTGCCATTTATCATCTGCCAAAATGTATGGGAATACTTCTGTGTGGGAGCGATGACTGCCTGAACGATAATGCAACCTGATTTCATTTCGATGACCACTGCTTTCCAGCTCCAGGTACCTGTATCATAAATGCATCATCATGTCATGAAGCATTTTTATCAGCACAGAAACATTTTACATAAGCCATCTTCTCATCATCATGCAGCAACTACTTAAAAGAGGGAGAAAAACAAGCAAGGAGATACAAAGACAAAAGCAGACTCTTTTCAGATTTCCACTGCATCTTTCTTCTCAATGACAAATAATAGCAGGTTACAACTGGTAACAACTTAAAACAAGGTAAGTACATAAGATTTCAAGCCAAATGTTTTTCCTTCTAGCAACATTATTTTCCAGAACATGATCTGATTGCAAGTATTATGCTATTATGAATAGTTGCCTCATACCCTGAAAGCACAGTAAGGATACACTGAAGGCATGAATGCATAAAAGACAACCCCAAGTTTTGCAGTAGGGACATCATTAGCAATTACCAATCAGAGAAGTAAGGACTGAGATTGAACACTGCTTTGTTTGCTTTCATGTGTACTGTTACATCTCCTTTTATTTTTTGTAATAAAATTTCTCCAAAGAAACATAAAATCAATAAATGCTAACTCTTCAGAAAAAATTTTATATATGTGTACATATTTGCTTTGTTAAATAAGTATGTGTATTTGTGAGGTGGGTGTGTGTATACATACAACTCTATATGTATGCACATATATATGTAAATATGTACAGATATGGTAAAAACCCAGCAGTGCAGCTGTGCCAAAATAAGTGTACCCTTCACAAGATTTGCAGATTGCAAATTCAAGCTTTGATGGTGAAATTTTAGCAGCTTAATTTTAAAAGCATTCCGTAACAAACTCAGTTCTTAGACAGGCTGGTCTCTTGCATGTTGGAACTCTTCTGGGAAAAAGCTTGAGAAACCATTTGTCTTTTAAAGTAGTAAGCTTCTCATTTTAAAATTCCCCCAAGAAAATACTTTTTACACAGGAAAGGAAAAACAAAATGGAGCTTCTCTAAAAATCATATATAACATGCAGCTAAAAACAAGGAAAATAACAACATATGTGGTGAGATACACATCAACTGAGAGAATGGACAGTTCATTTTTGTCTATTTTTGCGGTTACATCTGCAATCAGGCATGACAGTGGCTTGTAATCTGAGTGCACATGTTAAACAGGCTATCTATATTAAGGAATAGACAAGATAATGAGTACGGTTTTGAGGAGTGAAGTTGAGACCGAATCAAAACTATCTTGTACAATCATTATCCCTAGGAAGAGAGGCTGGGTTCACTGTACAGCTCTCCTTCCTTCAGAGTGTTTTCACAGTGGAACTATTTTTTTGCAAATCCAGCAAAGGACAATTTCTTCTTCATCCTTAGTATTAACGAAGAAGTTAACTAATTTCAGATATAAATTTTATAATTTGAGACAATTTACCTTCTCATGGCCCAAAACCAATTTTTGCATTGGCAAGAAGTGGAAACTAACAGAAGGCCAGGCTGGAAAAAAAATGGGCAGTAATGGCAGGACATCAGTCAACTTAATAACCTCCTTCATAACTCAAGCTTCAAGGATAAAAATAAGGTCACTCCCAACCTAACAGAGAAGGGGAACATTATAGAACGGGACTTCTCCAGCAACTTCTAAGTGTCTCCATCCAGTCGCAGACACAAACTGGAAAATGAAAGGCAGGGATATGTTGAAAAAGGCATCCTGGTAGAACCAACAGCTACCTACTCATTTGAAGTCAGTGACAGAACTGATGCCGGATCACAGAGATGCAGGCAGGCAGGGAAAAAACTACACCTGTAGACACACAGTTGGTACAGAATGTACTCGTGTTGTCCCTTATGCAAGTAAGATAATGAATGAAACATGGCTTTGCCAATAAAAAGAAGACATTGCCGTACAGATTTCACAAAATAAAAACTGCTGAGAGAGGATGCTGACAATTGATGATGCTGTAATAAGCAAGGAAATCTGCCGACACAAAGTCCTGCAAAAACTGTGGACACTTGGGATTTTGTTTTAATGGTGATTAATGCACTGTTTTGATATTCACAGACAATCTCTTGTTCTTCCATTTGGTAAACTAACAAATACAACTCCCTTCTAAAGGAGAAAATATGCATCAAAGTGAAAAAGAAAATAATAGCCATTAGGAGAATTAGTAGGAGAATAATTTATGGTTTATTAATAATCTGTAGAGGCAGCAACAAAATACAATGAGAAAAGCAAGTGGAATGATAGCCAGAACTATATTGCTTTCAGCTTGAACTAATGCCATAATGCTGAAACACAGGGAAGTGAAAGTGAATAATTTCCACCTAATTATTTACAAAATACTGTGCTTGCTTTTCTACATCTGTTTAACTGCCTGGACTTACACGGCTCTGTCTCAGTCTCATGAGCTTCACGAGATGGGACAAGCCTCAGCACTGACAAACTCATTACAGGTGAAAATGCAAAGTTTGCCCACAGTGAGGCTTCTTGTTCCGTCTGTGAGGCTGTAACACTTGGGTGCAAACCTTCCAACAGTTTTGAAGAGTCTTTGAGAAAGTATACTAAGCATTAACAAACACACCTGGGGTTTAAAAATTCATTTCTGGTGACAAAAATACTGTACACTTCTCTGTACACTCAGGATTGCTAATCATTGAGAGGGAAAAGAGGGTGATTTCAGTTCCTAAATGACTTTTTAAAGGAAACAATAACTGCATTGTACTGCAGTCTTCTCCTAGCCAAGAATTTCATTACTGAAAAGCTTCAGGGGAACCTCATCAGGTGAGTCACTGGTTCCTTGTCCACACCAGCCCAGCACAGCCCACTCATCACAGGGAGAGCAGCAGCCAAAGATGTCCCATTATAAATGTCACTGATGCTTCTTCCAACAAGCTCCAAGGTGCTTTTCTATGCTGCAGAAGGTAAAAAGCTCTTGGAGTGAAAAATAAACCCCAATGAGAAACACAATAGCAGAACCTGCTCCCCACTTCTAATGTCCATAATCTCTGTGGTTGTTTAATCAATACCAGTGTATTTGATTTTAACCTGCAAAAAACCACACACACATTGCATTGGGTTAAACTGATTTAAACTTCAGAGGGAGATCATACATGCTTAGGTGTTACTATGTTTGACACGCAGAGAAGAAAACGCCAACCTGGAAAAAAAGGTTGTTACATCTCCATAGATCACTCTATGCACGCACAATCATTGCAAAGGTAGCAGCCAAGGCCACCGCTGCAGATGAGCCACTCTGCTTGGAAACCAGCCAGTCAGCGATCCCTTACGTACTACAGATGAATGTGTCTTCGTAAGAGGAAGAAATTTGTTTCAAATGCCCCAGAGGAATTTGAGACAGAAAAGAGTGATGTGTTCTCTGCTGCCCAGCACTGATCTATTGTAGCTGCATAAGAGCTAGGAGTCAGCAGATCTGCTCAACTGTCAACAGATCAGCTCTAATGACCATCCTGGCAAAGGGTACATGATCACAACCAGCCCAGGCAGGACCTGCTCTTTGGGCTGTGACAGACCAGCTCAAGGGAGACTGTGGGAGTCAGGATGTACAGCAAAACGCTAGAGATTTAGGAAGTGAAACACCAGGTGGTCCTGCTGCACACAGTATCAGTCTTTGACAAGAGGGAGGTATGGCCATTCCAGCTAGCAGCCAGCGTTGGCAATGCCAAGTCTGATGGCTCACTTGTTCATTTGGCATCCTTGCTCACACAACAAATGCACAGTGTAACTGCCCACACTTACTCCAGGCAACTAATAATTTTAACTTCATTTTACAACATGCAGACAAATATTTTAGAAGCTAAAGGTAAGAAAATTAATTTATTACAGGGTCATTTTTGGACTGTTTTTTTAAACTTTTCCTACTTAAAGTTGTAGGTATAGTGTTAAGAGTTCTTCATGGCTCTTCAATCTACATTAAAAAGGAACACCAATAAAATTAAAGACAAATATGTACTTAAGAAAAAAATTAAAATCCATTACATATAAAGCTCCATTACTATAAAAATATCTTCATTTGAACATTTTTATATGAAAGTTCTGGCTTTTTTGTTAGGTATAATTACAAAAAACAAACAAAAAAAGAGATTCTATTCAGTAGACCCTACTCATTGCAAACTGTGGCCACAATAGCAGTAACTTATTCTGCTAGGTGTAGATTATGAAGATGTAAAAGCAATTCACGCAGCACCACTACCACATTCAGCAACGCATTATTTGCTGTTTTCCATGGTATGATGACTGGGCAGTCAGGAGTGTGAGCCTTATTCTTCTATTTGGAAGTAACATTAAGCATTTTGAAACATTAACTAGGAGTTTTTAAAGCTTGGTGCATCCCCAAGGCTAGGAAACAAACACGTGAGACTGTTCAAATCCTTCCCATCAGTGTCCCCCTCAGTGTCTGTACCTGATTCAAACTAATAAAGCACATGGGACAAAAATGGATGTCAATAAGATACTGTTTCTACCACCATCTTGCAGCCCCTCATCTTATTTCAGTGGGACTGCTGTGGTCTGGAAGCCTTTGCTGGCTTTGAAGTCAAGACCTGCCTCTCACCTGAGAGATCTCTCTGCTTACTTCGCAAAATTTGAGGTCAACTCTGCCTCTAAATCAGGGAGGAAAAATCTTCCCCCCCTCGCAGACTCTGAATAGCTTCTGCTGAGTTTAGTGCTTTGATTCAAGAGCCCCTGGCTGTAACAAGAACAAGATATCCCAGACCCTCTGATGCTACTGCTGATGAGAAGGCAAGGCTCCCAGCCAGCCTTCCCACAGCACTTAATGGAGGAGTCAGGTGCCACAAGCAGGAACTGAGGTCCCACTGAGCTCTTCAAAGCACAGCAAGAAAAGCTAGGTGGCCAACAAGGCAAATGGCATCCTGGCCTGGATCAGGAACAGTGTGGTCAGCAGGACCAGGGAAGTGATTCCTTCCCTGTACTCAGCACTGGTGAGGCCACACCTGCAGTACTGTGTCCAGTTCTGGGCCCCTCAGTTCAGGAAGGATATTGAGGTGCTGGAGCAGGTCCAGAGAAGAGCAACGAGGTTG